GGGAGAAGTTTGGACAACAGGTTACATTTCATCTGAAACTTAAAGCTTGTAGTGGTGAGTTTCTTTAACTCTTAATGCTCAGTGTGCTGGCTCTTCAGCAATCAACTAATACAATTACTTCAGTAATGAGAACTTAATAGGTACATTTTCACAACTTTCTCCTTTTGCCATGTTTGTTGCTTAAAATTCAAATCAGAATAATGTTTTTTTTATTCCCCACAGTATTGTTTCCATTTCAGAACTTACAACAGTCAAAGGAAAAGCAAACACATATGATGCCATCGCCACCGAAAGAGCCAAACATTCCTCTGCTTCAAACAAATGCACAAGACTTCTGTGCTATAACTATAAATGAAACCTCCCCACCCATGAGGAGTAAGCATTAATCTATTCTTAACACTTATTATAGTCGCATTACACTGTCAGATTGTAACATGAATAGCTTTGGATTGTCAAGGATACGTTGGATTAGAGAATCAGGGAGCCACATGCTACTTGAACACAGTGCTGCAAATACTCTTCAGGACAAAGAAGTTCAGAGAGGCTGTGGAAAAGTAGGAGCTTATCATTGTTCTTATGCTAATTTTAGCTGAAAAATAAAATCAGATATAACTAGTGTGTTTTACAGGTATGTGACGGATAGTCCCGATCCCACCATTAATAATCGCGTTGCACAGTTATTTAAGAATTTGGAGTCTGGAGAGAGAAACACTGCCACCACTGAAGGAATCACAGCTGAACTTAAAATCAATGGTAGGTTTAGGATTTGCATTTTGACGTAAAAATATGATTTCTTAACAAATTCCTAAAACAAAACAAAGCTCTAAAGTGCACATTCTCACTTCAAATGTGTGTGTTTAGCACTTTTCACACAATTGAGTCATTCAGGCATCATGTTATTTCATCAGTTCATAAGCAGGAAGATGCTGCAAAATGTCTTCAGAAGATACTTAACAAGATCGATCCTGAAATATCCAAGGTGTGTTTAGTACCTGCAAATACCTGAAAAGTTCTTCATCAAATGCATTGCACATACTCGTCACTGTGTCTGGAGTGTGCCATATGCTTGATATTATATTGGGCTACTCTTGCATCTAATCCATGAAGAGTTTGAGCTTCTTAAAATCAGACACCTGTAGATAAAAAAAATGCATTACAAAACAAAATGAATACAAATGTAATATCTATCTATCTATCTATCTAATCGTGTAGATATTTCAGGGAAGGATGGCACAAACCACCATTTGTATAAATCCAGCAAAAGAACATGAACCTCTGGAGCAAGTTAAAAACTTTTTCATTTTATCCATTTCCTTGAATTCAGAGCCTCTTGTACACATGGTAAGTGTCTAAAACGGATCCCTCTGTAGTGAGATTAATGTCACGTACCCTAATGTGATTAAAAATATTACAGGTTCAGTGCTTGTCTAAACACTCATAAGCATAATATTGATCACCACATAAATTAATTTGCACTCATAATTTTTGGGAAGTCTGGGTTATAGTGAGGCACTCACAATGGAAATGAATGGGGCCAGTTTCTACTGAAACAGTGAGTAACAAGACATACTGTGAAGAAAAAAAAACTAACTTTTACTGTGTAAAGTTATATCCAATTTAACAATTTTGTTGCAATTACAACAAACTGCTAACCAACAAAACCCTAAAGCAACTGTACAATGATTTTAAACGGCTTAATTTATATAGCTCAAACAATACATTGTTTTTCATAGAATTAAAAAGCTTCACATTTTTATTTTAAATGCTCCAGATACTGACCTTATTCACTTCCATTATAAGAGCCCCTCTTGAGTCTAAATTACTTACAAATGACATGTGAAGTTCTTAAACCTGGAATATTCTTTTAAATTAATGTTTGTTTAGTTAATATTTCATCATTTTTACCTTCAGGCAAACCCAATAAGTTAACATGGACAAAAATGTTTCAATAACCTTTTTTTTTGTTTTTTTTTGTATTTCAGCAAAATTGCTTTGATTCATATTTTGCACCAATCATCATGTGTGGGGAAGACCAACAAGTGTACTGTAAAGGTTGTGAAATGATGATGAAGACAGAAATTGTGAGTTTTGCTTCATAAATGGTATATAAATATGGTAACTTATTTTTAAATGTGACAAACTTAGAACTAAAGTTCTATTTAAAAAAATCTTTAAATAAAACTCCAGCAATACAGAATGTTTCACCATGATTGAGGTTAAAACATTCTTTTATAAATATGTAATTTTGTATAATGATCATTTCTTCCAGATCTCCAGTTTGCAGAAAGTTCCTTCAGTTCTGGTTCTGCACCTGGAGAGGTTTGAATTTGATTATGACACCATGTGCTGCGTGAAAAATTACTCCTCAGTGCAAATTCCTCTCCAGTTACTCGTGAAGGTATGTTCAATTTGTGCTATACTGTAAATGTATTTAATATAACATTTTAAAAGAGGTCACCTAAAAATGAAAACTTATTTAATAACCCGTATGACATAGTTCATAGAAAAGTTAGATTTTGAAGAAACTTCATGTGACAAACAACAAAATCGTAAAAACAGTAACCCATGGTGACCCTTGAGGTCATATGATGATCTGTGTGAAAAAGTAATATTTGAATGACATTATTCACCGTAAAGCTTCCCCTCCATTGAGTCGTTAAAGGACAGTTCACCCAAAATGAAAATTAAAAATGATTTACTCTCCTCCATGTTGATCCAAATCCACAAGACTTCAAAATGGGCATAAAGAGATAAAAAATAAATCCATATGAATCAAGCGGCTTAATCCTATTTTTCTGAAGAGAAGCAATTATTTTATAAGACAGAAAAAGCAACAAATAAAATTAAAAATTTTATTTAGACTTTTATTCACATAAATTACCATAGATCAGTGAAAATAAACAGAAGCTCAACCAAACTTACTTCATATGCAACAAACATGATTGGTTTTCTCAGAAGTTCAAATGTGCCGCGGTTCACAAGAACCTAATTTGTTCTTGAGCTTCCATTTACCACATCTGCGTGCTCAGTGTTTGATCAGGAGATCGTAACAGCATCAGCATCTTACTTATCTCACTATTTTCATCTTTGGCCATAGGCGGAAATCCCAGGGGGGTCTGGACTCCCCTATCTGAGGGTTGTCCCCCCTAAAAATATGATTAAAAACCACGCTGTGTATTGTAAATAACAATGTTTTATACTTAACTTTGTAATTAGTAAA